TAATTTTAGCTCCCCATTTTCCCCTGGCCTCCTCTAACATAGAGATAAGAAACTATTCATCCAATTACTATATCTATAGATTTACCCATTGTGGATTTCATATAAAGAGAAACATACAAAAGAAAATCAACAAAAATAACAAAACATTAAAAAAGAAAGCACAAAATATTGAAAACCTGGAACAAATATAAAATGGGTGAAAAAGAGAACAAATGATAAGGTATTAAATTTTTACCTAATTACATCTTCCTTCTTCTATTTCCCAATGCTCTCTGTCTGATAGCAAGACTATTCAAAGACCTGGTCAATGGTCCACTGGAGTATTAACTTACATGGGGACCCTGAAATGGATATGGGGCTTCCACTGTCATCCATAGCATTCTGCTAATTTATCTTATCTATATTTGGATTATAATATTTACAAACCTCAGATCACACAGGCTGGTGTCCTTCTTCTGTGTAGACTTAGCCAGAAGCTCACTTAGATGGCTGCTTGTGTTAAGAGAAGCCTTTACGATCCCAGACATTATTTTTCCTGATAGTTGGGCACCATATGATTTCTTCATCACACTTTGCTATAGCACCCATATCTTCATGATCTCTTCATGAGAACAACTATCAAGTAGGGCCACATCAGAGGAATTAATTGTTTCTACTTTATGGCTATGATAAGTATAAGTACAAAATCCATTCATATATCTTTGTTTTATATATCACCCTGGTCCACTTTAGAGACATCATTATCATTTTATTGGGAATATTATAAATAATCCCCATGAGGATATGGTGATTCTATTGCTAATATCATTTAATTTAGTAAATGGCTTAGACTTTAAAATAATGTTGAGAAAAGGAAAGTGTACCTGTATACATCCTTTTAGACTAAAATAAATGGATTCTTGATTGCAGAAATTAAGTGCCTGGCTTTGTGTTGGTGTTTATCCTTATAGTAGTGGTCTCACACAATACTTGCCCTTTTGTGAATGGCTAATTTCAATGGGCATAATGGTTTTCAAGTCCATCTATGTCACAAGGTATTTCTTGGATTCATTACTTGTTTTACAGATGCATAATATTCCGTTTTGTGTACATATTAGTTTCTTTTTCCATTTTTCTGCTGGTGAGCAGTCAGGCTGTTTCCAGCTTCTTACTATTTAAGGTAGTTTATTGTGCCAACTTGGCCAATAAACACATGTGGGAATAATTGAAGGGCAGAGAGAGATAAATGGCTCGGCGAGCCTCGCCTTTCTTGTCTCTTGCTCTTTGATCATCGGATCAGTGTGCAGCTGCCTTGCTTGTTCTGTGCCTCAATTTGCAAGCTACACTACCTGTGGGACACCTAACCTGTGGACTGTGTTGCTGTAATTTGAGGCTCCTTCAAGACCTGCTTCGCCACACCATTGGAATTTACATCTCTTGAGCTGGGGACTGTCGGACCCTGTCATCTGGCTGACTGGTGACCTGCCTTGCTGTTTGCTGCCTGTGCCCAGATAGACAGGAGACTACCTGGAGGCCCTCAAGACTTGAAGGACTGCCAGTGTCTCACAGCTGTCACATGGGAGTGAGTTGCACTGAGCCATTTGTACTGCTTTATAATTTAATTAACTCTTTATTTCTTATATTATACATCTATCTATCTGTATAAATATATATAATTATAGCATTCTGATTTTGTTTCTCTAGAGAACCCTGTCTAACACACTATGGTAAACTCTTCTACAATGAACATGGGAGAGCATATGTCTGTTTGTGCTGTGTCTCTTACTTCTTTGGGCTATAGATCCAGCAGATGAGTGGCTGGGTCTTAGGATATTTCTAGTCCCAGTTGCTTCAGCACCATATTGATTTCCAAAGTGGTTGTACAAGCCGTGTATAAGCGTTCCAATCTCATGGGTGAATGGAGACGTCGGACAGTATAAAACATGACAAAATAATAATAATTTATAAATTATCAAGGGTTCGTGAGAGAGGAGTGGTGGGAAGGGAGAGAAAAAATGAGGAGCTAATGCCAAGGGCTCGAGTAGAAAGAAAATGTTTTAAGAATAATGATGGAAACAAATAAACAAATGTGCTTGATGCAATGGATGGATGGATGGATTGTGATAAGAGTTGTAGGAGCCCCCAGTAAAATGATTTTAAAAAGAAAAAAAAAGTTCCAATCGCTCTACACCTTCTCCAGCATTTGTGTTGTTTTCTGTTTTTGTTTGTTTGTTGAAATTGGGCTATCATTGTGAGTTAAGTAATATTCTTTACATGGACAAATGATTTTTGAACTAAATCTCAAAACTATAAGAACTAAAAGATGATATGATAAACATATTTAACCTCTAGAAAAATAAAAATTACAATGGTAAACCATTGTCAAAAAGTGTTGCTATAACACTGGGATCTTAAAAATTCAAGAGGAGTTGATCTCAGGTGCAATGATAGGTCTCTCCAGGTCTGAAGGAAAGAAAACACCACCATAGGATAAATCCCAGTTCACAGTGACCCTACAGGACAGATTGCAAGTCTCCTGCTGGGTTTCATCAGCCTGCTGAACTGTTCGTTTTTCAGAAACATAGATACCATCCACAAATTTTTGGATGTCCTTATTTTTAACTGTAGTAGCTTGTTGAATTAAAACAGCTGAATTTGATACAAGCTCAATGTTGTTTCCTTCAAGAATTAACTCATCTTTATGGGTTTGAGAAATGAAACAAGCAACACCTGTCCCCGTGTAAACCTCCACGTGTATTTTTCCTGCAAGAAGTTACGAATTTCAACAGGAGACCCATTCTTCCGAATAACCACATTGGGGAAGTGAGCATACATAAATCTCATCTTGTTTCGGAAGCCCAGTCTAACACCCTTGATCATGTTCTGTGCATGAATGACCACAGATAGTGCAGACTGTAACTAGTTCCTTGCTATTTCCCCATGAAGAGTCTTCTTTTTCTTTCTAAGGAGACTGGATTCTACATGGATGTAACTGAAGTCCCTCCTTGGGATCCTCTGGGGCCTTTCACAATAACTCTGTGCCCCTTCAGGGAAATGTCGACATTTTCTGGAATGTCCACAGTTTTATTGCTAAGAATGGTGTTCATTCTCACAGTAGATGCAGTCAGTGACTTATTTTTAATAAGTCCCAATTATCTATTTTTTCTTCCACTGTGTGTCTGATCTGGTAGTCTGTGTATGTCCTGCAATAGAGCCCTTAAGTTTGGCCCAATGTTCTCGTTGACGATGCTGATAGCTTGGGGTTTACCTGTAGGTCTCTGATCCACCTTGAGTTCATTATTGTGCATGGGGCAATGCAAATTAAAACAATGATGAGATATCATCTTACACACACAACCATAGTCTAATGTTTAAAAAACAGAGAATAACAAATGCTGGAGAGAGGGAGAATAGATTGAAACTCTGATACACTGCCAGGGGGCTTGTAAATATGCATAAGCATTATACAGAATAATAGGATGACATCTAGAACAACTGTCAATAGAAATATCACATGACCCAGTAATGCTATTGCTGGGCATATATCCCAAAGAAATGAAAAGACAGAACACAAGCAGATGTATAATCTCCCATGTTCATCACAGCACAGTTCACAATCTCAAGAAGCTGGAAACAGTCCAAATTCCCATCAGTAGAAGAATGGATAAAACACTTCGATATATTTACACAATGGAATACGATGCATCCCTTTAAAACACAGTGCAGAAGACCTGAAAGACCTCATGACATGGAGGGATCTGGAAATCAGTATGCGAAGTGAAGTGAGCCAATCACAAAAGGAACGACAGGACGCCTAGGGTATGAGTCCATTACCATAAGGCTGAACACCAGGATGGAGGCAGGCTTCCGCTGCACCGTCCTACAGGCTGCCAAACATCCCATACGAAGCCTGACTGTGCCCAGGACGCAGACAGCACCCCCTTTTCACGTATCTCTTAAAAATCACTTTAGTAGAGGAGACTTCCCTTCAGCGATGGCCAACTTTTAAGTTTGGAAAAGAGAGCAAAAAACATTGAGCTGCTGCCATACAAACTTGTACTATGGCCACCCCAAATCAACAGACAATTCTACCAGAGTGCTAAGCAAACCTGATGAGAAATTGAAGTCAAAATAGTGGGAGGGGTGCATGTATATCTCGGAGAACCCAAGTGTATTTCTGTTGGTAGGAAAATGAGGCTGACCAACCTCTAAATGGGAAAAAAGTGCTTAAAAATACATATTTAGAACCCAAGGGGAGAATATGCCTGGGAACATGTAACTAATTAGACACTTCACACCCAGTTTCTAGTCAGCCTCGGGTGACCCAGCTCATGTCCAGACTGCTTTCTTATTCTGGAGCTGTGTCCTTGATGAACTTGTGCTGCTGCAGGAAGGCACTGAAATGTATTACATCCCGCACCCCAGAGCGGACCCAGTGCTCCCTGGTGAGTTATTGCTCATAAATATGCAGGGAATGAGAGGGAACTGAAGCTGCAATCATGCATGTAGAAACGAACTCTGAATTCTGTCCAGCTGCTGGTGCTTTTTCATGGACGTCTACACACAAAACCCAGGACCACATCCAGTCCGAATGGACCGAAGCGCTGTGAATGCGATGTCCTCAGTTAGCCGTGCCACGGGGCAAACCTGTCCCCAGAAAAGGGCCTGCGCCTAACAGGTACGAAATGAATATATACTAGATTGGTTTGTTTTGATGGAAGTCTAAAGAAAAAAAAAACAGGAAATGTCTTCTTTACCCTAATTTTATATCTTAAGAAAGTTCTTATAAAAAAGAAATTACATTCTGAAGAATAATGCTATCCCACAAACACACATTTGTTCCATTCAAACCACAGTAAAGCATAAAGCCTTCTGTGTCTGAGTTGCAACCTTTCTATGAATTCACACGCCCCCTCCTTGTTTTTAGCCTCGTGCTATTCAATATTGAAAATAGAGTTTTTGAATGAGAAATCTTGATATTCATTGTACGTGGAACAGAAATGCCCACACACTCTACTTACCATAGCCAGGCAGTTGCGCCAGAGATCTCGGAGGCTGTGGCTCCACAGCGCCCCCAGAGGCAAGATGAGATTTCTTTTGGGAATCTTGCATAAGCATCAAAAATACCTTTTTGCACGTAAAAAAAAGAAAACAATGTATTAGTTTGTTTCTTTCCACATCACATTCTGCCTTGTTACACAACTAGATAACTATGAAAATGGGCAGCACACACACGTGCGCGTGCGCGCGCACACACAAACACACACCGCATTTAGTCATCAGTTCATTGGCATAGTTACAAGACCACCTAGTTCTTGGAAAGCTGGTTGTCAGGCAGTTCATAATACAAAGAAGAATCACATTAATCTTGGTCCCCAGAACATCTACAATCATATACATAACCAGGAGCACACAAGACAGGATCAGGCAAGAGGAGGTGTCAATAATCCAATTCAATTCAAATTCATGACTCACTGTTCCTGCCCCTTATAAATTCAAAGACAATAATATTGTCTGCACCGTCTGTTAGGATGGATGGGGGCTTAGAGTGAAAATGTTCACTGCTCACATGGTCTGCATGTGCTATAACATTCCATATTATCAAAAGTTAAAATAACTTGCTGGAAGTCAACATCAATTACTGATAGAAGCATAAGTCCAACATCCATTTGTTAAATCTCAAACTCCATAAGCGTGGGGTGAAGAAGCCAAGCAGGAAGAGATAAGGTGGGCTGCAAATAGGGAGGCCCTAAGTTGCACCATGTGCTTTCTTGGAGGGTGGTCTGCGTGATAGAGCGGCTGTAAACATGGGACAGAGAGCAACAGGAGGAGTAAAATGGATTACAAGCCTGAGTCCACGCAGGCCATGGTTAAGGTCTCAGACACTGAGCTGTGAGACATGCAGCAACGCTCTAAGAAACGCTCAGGGCTAGTTTTCATCTCAGGTACAGCACCTGGCCTCCCTGCGTACGGGCTGCCTCGGGAATAAATTAGTGTACATACAAATTTGTCATGGCTGAAGACTGGCTCAGACACAACAACAATGGTAGTGAGTTGCTGTCAAGCCATCTCTGACTTATGGTGACCTTATAGGAAATAGCAATAAATGTCTGATTCTGTGGTATTTCATGATCCTAATGTGTAAATTAGGTGAAAGTTTACAGATCCAATCAGTTCTCTATTCCACAATTTATACACATTTTCTTTCATATCATGTCATACTGCAGTATAATGAATTCCACTTGTACTCTGTTTCACATTTCTATTCATCCTTCTTTCCTAATCTTTCCTGCCTTCTGAACTTTGTCCTTGAGCAAATGCTACCCTTTTGGTCTTAACAGTTGGTTGCTTTAGGTAGTACTTATCTGCCTTATGCCACTGTACCTTATAGAT